ACACAGCCTGCTTGTTCAGTCATTTGGTCGTCCCTCACTAACCCCCCTGCCAGCCTGTTCATAGGCAGCCATCTTGTGAGGGAGTGGGGGTTAATTTGCATATTACCTCTTTATTATATAGGATAATATTCTATTGTACAGATAGATCACACTTTGCTTATCCACACTTTGTTGTTAATGGCCATTTGGGTTGTTTCCACTTTTTGGCTATGAACAATTATGTATAAGTTTTTTTAAAATATATTTTATTGATTTTTTACAGAGAGGAAAGGAGAGGGATAGAGAGTTTGAAACATCGATGAGAGAGAAACATCGATCAGCTGCCTCTTGCACACCCCCTCCTGGGGATGTGCCCACAACCAAGGTACATGCCCCTGACCGGAATCGAACCTGGGACCCTTCAGTCCACAGGCCGACGCTCTGTCCACTGAGCCAAACCGGCTAGGGCATGTATAAGTTTTTGTGTGGACACATGTTTTTAATTCTTTTGGATGTTGCAGTTATATTCAGCAGAAAGAATCCACAGCCTATGAACAGAGGTGCTGCTAACCTAACACCAAAAGGAGTAGTTACATAAGGAAGTAACTTTGGGATATACAGAATCATACCAAGTTAAATAGGTTTCTTTACTGAACCTTTCATGGACATTCATGTAGCAAGGTGCATTGTAGACCTCCTAAGAGGGGAATGCAGATATTACATACCAGAGGTTAAGAGAACAGATTCTGGAATCTGGCAGATCCAAGTTGCTAGTTGAGTGAACTTAGAGAAAGTTACTTAAATCGAGTTCCCTCATTTTTAATAAGGGGATGATAATACCTACCTCGTGAATGTGAAATGAAATAAAGAAATGCTATATATTTGCTATTAAATAAATGGGAATGTTATTGTGCTAAATTGGCAGATTGATAAAGACAAAAACCACATCAGGTTTGTCCACACTTAGACCTCAACATCTAGACTAAAGACTGTCAGGCATACAGTGACCAGTGACCAATAAATATTTATTGAATAAATATATAAATGACCTCAAACCCCTTGTTTTGGGGCACATATCCTAGAAAAAATAAGCCACAGAACAAGAATTGGGAAATACTTTCTTTCTTATGTTGGAAATTAGTATATTGAATTAGTATATTTCTTTACCTTCTATTTTTTTTATATTTTCTTTAATTGTGGTAAAATATACATAAGGAAATTTATCACTTAACCATTTTTAAACTTACAATTCAGTGGCATTAAGCATATTCACATTGTTGTGCAACTATCACCACCATCTCTACAACTTTTTTTCAAAATCTCCCCAAAGTATAATTCTGTACTTAGTAAACAATAATGCCCCATTTTCTCCTCCCTCCTACAGCTCCTGGCAACCATCATTTTACTTTCTATCTTCATGAATTTGACTATTCTAGGAACCTCATATAAGTGGAATCATACAGTATTTGTCCTTTTGTGACAGGTTCATTTCACTTAGCATTGTATCTCAAGGTTCGTTCATGTTGAAGCATGTGTCAGAATTTGCATCCTTTCCATTGTATGTATAGACCACATTTTATTAATCTATTCATCTGTCCATGGACACTTGGGTTGCTTCCACCCTTTGGCTATTGTTAATAATGCAGCTATGAACATGGATGTACAAATATCTCTTCCATGTTGCAGATCAGACGGTCACCATGTGCCTCTGCCCTTTGGGAAGTGAGCTGTGGAATTGGCAGGACTCTGTCCCATTATACTCTCAAACTCTCTTGCTAGTTTTTCTTTATTTTATACTTTCTTCCCCATGTGCATTTATATATATATTACTAGAGGCCCAGTGCACGAAATTCGTGCATGGGGGGGGGTTGGTGTCCCTCAGCCTGGCCTGCACCCTCTCCAATCTGGGATCCCTCTCACAATCCAGGAATGCTGGCTCCTAACCGCTCGCCTGCCTGCCT